ACACAAAAAAAATGGAGCAGTAGACACTTCTACTTTTTCTGTGTGGGTGACAGTAGCCACTTGTAGCAGGGTATAAACAAAAAGAAAACCAAATCTTACCCATACAAAACAATTATTCTTTTTGACATACACAAACAACTAACAGTAAATCACTTTGAAAATTATTACCCACACACAAGGAAATATATTTTCATCATTCTTTATGACGTATACAAACAACTAACAAGAAAACCACTTTAGAAAATGATATCACATACACAAACAACATACATAGTATGATCTCTGATCGACGTACACACAAGTATATTTATATTAGCTTTGCATAGGAATGATTTTAGAATGATTGGCTAGTGGTTCTCCCTAATCTCCCCCACGTGACTGATGAGCACCTCGACTTTGCCCGTCTTGACCATGCCGACAGCGAACTTGGCCTGCCACGCCTTCTCCACGGCGGCGTGGAACGCGACGATGCAGGCAGTTCGCGGGCTGGTGAGCAGCATCTGGTCGGAGGTAAGTGGCACCTTTGCATAGATTTTCTTCTTGTGGAGGCATAGATTTACTTCTGCAAGAGACACGGTTGTGCCTCTTCGGAAAGGGAAAAAAATGCTCTCGGTTTAGGTTTTTTCGTCCAGTTTTTTTTCAAAAATAAAATCGTCAGAATCTATCAACATAAAATCTAGTTTTGAAAATCTCGACGCGAGGAATCCAACAAGGAAAACGGTTCCAAATTAGACGCATGGTTTAAGAAATAAAATATTTTGAATAAATGAATATATGAGAAAAGGGAAAACTCGCAGTTTGTGACAAGTGACAGACATGCAATGCGCCACTTGGCGCAACCTGTAAAAGTGGGGGTGACCTTTGTAAAGAGTACTCTTAATTAATGATTTTGTTTCTTGTTTTAGATGAGGCCATCACTCTCATTGGTACATGGCCCCTCTGATTACAAGGGAAGCTAATGTTCCCTGACCCATGCGGGGGGCAAGCGAGCTAACACGCCCGCAGGGCCCGAAATTGCA